TGCTCGTCGGTTCCAGAGTTAGAGGTTGATCGTGCAGAGTAGATACAGATATTCATTCCTCTGACTATGTAGGAATCTTCTCTATGATAGCTTTAAATTTTATTTCTATCATTTCAGTTTCGGTTTGAGAATTTTAATAAGGGGTCCAATAGATGGATTCCCAAGTTGTAAACTTATGGAGGTTTTGGAGCATCGGATTTGACTAATTATGATTCAAGGTTTTTCTTTTAGTTTCTTTCAGCTTATTATATTATTTCTTATTTCACTTTGTATTCCGTGTTCGATTTAAAATATTAATTGTTTGATATCCCTCGGGTTTAGGCTTGGGCCTGATCAACCCGTGTCTCGGATCTAAGGGGTATCATAGTAGCTCAAGTATCACACCCAATGGTCTGGACTCGTGCACTAGGGCCCTTGCAATGATTGCACCACGAGCCATCTTTTAATGAGCTGGACTCTATTTTATTTTGGACTTGAGGAGGTTCGATCGATCGAACTTAGGTGAGATCCATCGAATGCTGCAAAGATCGATCATCCTTGGCAGCACCTTTTTGAATAAAAACCAACCTCTGAGATATTTTGGGATATTTTGAGAAAAAGACAAAAGTGGTAGGTGGGGTGGTAGGTGAGGATAAGATCAAACAATTTTGATCGATCTAAGAAAAGTTAGATCGATCAAAGATGGTGGAATCTTTTGGATAAGGACAAATGCTTTGATCTATCTTGAAATGTCTAGATCGATCACCTCCAGATCGATTGAAGAATTATTGAGATCGATCGAACTTGCTGTTTTTCCACACTTTACTTCCACTGTGCTCCTTTCTTCCATTTAACTTGAGATAGCTTTTTTTAAGCTCTTATTTAGCTGAATTAGCTTATTTTTCGTATAAGTATCTGAAAAGGGCAATAACATAAAATTAGTCTAAGACGGGAAAATAAGATAGATAAAGGTCCTAGAACACTCAAGCTTAAGGGGTTTAAATGCGCACTTTTTAACGCTCTTCACACCCCCAAACTTAAATATTGCTAGTTCCTAGTAATGAACTACGAAGTAAAAGAATGAAATGAACAACTATCGAACTATGAACTAGAAAGCAATTAATGGATAATGCCACTTTCGTAGGGAACACGATTGCATTTAGCATATGCATCAAGCCTTTTAAACCCCTAGAATACCCCTAGTGGACGAGAGAAGTCTCGTGAGGGTTTCCAGAAATGATACCCACAAACATTAAGCTCATTCTCACTAAAGAGGCACCAATATTGCAAATAAACATTGGGAGAAAACTACCTCAAGTATGTAATTTTTCAACCATTTCCAAATAATCTCCCAAAATTTCAACATTAAGCAAACAAATATGGTCCTCCACACATCAAGAAAATGATCATGCAAATCAAAACAACTCTAGAATCCTTTTTGAGTGGACCGACATCAAATATGTTGCTATCTATAATGTTTGTAATTTGTTTATATATATATATGTGTGTGTGTGTGTGTATGTATGTAAAGTTAAGTTAATAAAAAATAAAAATAAAAATAAAAATAAAAATAAATAAATAAACATTTATTTGGGCTAGGACCCACCACAAACATAAGTCATTACAAATGACTTGTGAGTTTTTATAGAACTCATTAGTTTTCTCTCTCTGCGCATCTCTCTCTCTTCCAGTAACTTCATTTCTGTTTTTCTTTTTCTCTTCTACAAAATTCAAGTTTCAGTTAATCTCTCATCTTTTGGAGTTTTTGGGAATCGTTTATGGCAAAACGGAAAGCACGCCGAGATCTACGTGTGAGTACAAGCAATTCATCATTTGGTGCACTTTAGGGATTTCGAAATTCTAGGATTCTTGGACTCAAATTGGGGCTTTTTCTCTCATTTGAGGTAGGGGTGTTCTAATGCATGAATTCTTGTATTTTTGTGAGTTTCTAGCTTAAAGTGATGCCTAGCATGTTTAATTAGTGCTAATTCTTGCAAAGATTTGTTTTAAATAATAAACATGGAATGTATGTGACTACTTGTTAATTGTTTTAAGATGATTTAGCATGCCTACATGTTTATATGAAATTGAATCTATATTTTACATGCTAGTTATGCAAATTTAATATTAAATGAGAGCTCCATCATGTAATTTATAAATTTGTCTTGTATAGTATGTGTGAAAGTTATATGGTTGGGTTGATAAATTGAAGCGCAAGCATTCATGTGTTCATTGGGAAAGAGAAAGGAAAAAAAAAATATTTTTAGAACAAACGAAATTGTTTGAGGGAAAATATTTTCTAAAAGTGTTGCGAAAACCGGACACCTAGGAGGCACCTAGTGGTCCGTGATGTTGGTGTAGCCTAGAAGGGAATGTAGCTGGGTTAACTAGGCTGGATGCGACGCCTTGGAGGTGCCTTGTGGTCGTGGATATTTAACCAACCTTCTTTTCGTGACGCCTTGGAGGTGCATTGGGTCGGATTACACTAACGGTTTGGTTGTTGAAATGAAATTGTTTCGAAAAATGGGGAATGACATTTGCATAATATTGCACTTCATGACATTGTGGTAAACTTGTGATTGATTGATATTTGTTACATACTTGTTGTTGTGGTTGAGAATGTGCGTTCCCCTATGGCATGATCCCGTTCACTTTTTATCTATTCATTGTATGGATTCACGGGGATATAAGAAGTGTGTCTTAGACACTTTTTAAATGCGCATTTTTCAACGATCATCAAGTGCATTGATACTTAGGAGTGCTTTTATGGATTAATGGTTATGATGCAATATGTGTATGTAGTAGTGTGTATTAGGGCAAGACTTGATTCTGGTTTAAAAGAATTAATATTGTATTGATGATCATATAATAAAATAAATGAATGATTGTGTTGTTGTCAATTAGTGCAATTTTTCCTGCAATTCTATTTCGCAAGTATATTACTGCAATTTTTGGTTGAATGGCTAGTAACATTGCCAATATACACAAATTTCATCAACAAAGACTGCACAAAACAGAAACTGATCACAAATATTAAGGGTTGTTTAGCTAGGCTTCCTGTAGTCTAAAAACGAACTTCTAAGCCCAGAAAGTCCTTTGCTAATTTGGTAAAATTTCTGAAAACGGACTTTTGGAAGCTCGATTGACCAAAAGTTAATAAAACATGCTTCTTGATCGACTTCCGCAAGCTACACACTTTTTTAAGTAATAAATATAAAATTTCTATATTGTCTATTATTTAACCTATTTATATTTCTGAATTCCATTGCAAACTTTTCTCATTCTCATTCTCATTCTCTTTCTTTATCATCTTCTTCATTAGTTCTCTACCCAAAAATTAAAAAAAAAAAAATTTAAAAATATTGAGCAAAATTTCACAAATCTTTACTGAAAAAAATATTGTTGAAAAATGATTCAACAAAAAAAGAATAAAGACATTGAGGAATTCATGAAAAACTACCATTGACTCCCAGTTGACTTAAGAGTGTGAAGAGTTCACTAACAGGCCTGTGGCCTAGCGGTACCAAACCCCTACTTCCTAAAGGGAGGTTAGGGGTTTAAGCCTTAGTAGAGGTGTGTGTGTGTAAGTACCAACTAAGAAAAAAAAAATAAAAAATTGTGAAGAGTTCCAAGATTTATGAACTCTCATCCAAAATTCAACCACATATATATATATATATATATATATATATATATATATATATATGTATATATAAAATATATATATTTTTTGAAGGCTACCTTTCCACTGTTAAAGTAATTTATAGCTATAAATAAAAACAAAAATGGGATATTTTTGTTACCATCTCTCTCTTTCATTTTATTTTTCTTTCCTTTCTCTTTTTCCATGATCTCTTTCAACTTCTATTAAGGGAAAAAAAAAAAAAAAAAAAAAAAAAATTCTATCATGTAGATTGGGTAAATTTATATACCTTGATCATCACTATGTCAATTAATCATTGGTTCATCATAGGCAATTTCACTCCATCACTTTAGTTATGGTTTTTTTTTTTTTTTTTTTTTTTCCCCTCACCGTCATTGTACATCCCAATTCAACTCTATGCTATTATTTATGGATTTGTAACGATATAATGGTCAAGTTAAATTATGTTGATAGTTAAAAGAACTTCAAAAATTCACCTACCAAACAACTTTTTTGTTTTAAATTCCTTTCATCAAAATGCATTCTCCAATGCTGAGTCAGTGGAAGGAATTTTAGAAACTGAAAGCTCCCCCAAACAGGCCTAAAACTGTGAGCGAATATTACATATATAAATGTTGCGTACATAAAGTCATTGGCAAGTTTCATGACCATATATACAGTACAATACAAAATATTAATAGGTTTGCATACATATTAACATTAAAGCAACCCCCAACATTGGTTCAGATGTTAGAACTAAAATACTAAAAGAATACATTAGAACAAATACACAAAAAGATCATGGCCAGAAGACTGCATCAGAGCAAATACACAAAAAATCATAGCTAGAATGACTGCATCACAGCAGCCTACAGCAACCTACAACAACCCATATATACTTCATCACAACAACAAAACAATGTGAGAGCCAACCAACAACTCCTATCATCATCGAGCAGCATATTCACTAGCCTCTTCATTCATCAATAACCTGCAAATTTTGACACATCAATGTTATTTTTCTTATATAGTCAATGCTTCTGTAAAAAGTAAATGGAAACCGAGATAGTCTTCTTGCCTCGATGATGATGCCTGTGTTTCAACCAAATGGGATAATGGAAGTTATGAACGTGCAAAAAATAATAATAATGGTTTTAGTTAAAATTTTTAATTTTTTAACAAAATGAACTGTAAACATACTAAGATACATCATTTACCTTTTGAGATTGTCTTGCCTGAATTGAGCGCCCCCCTTCCACCACCCCCCCCCCCCCCCCCCCCCCCCCCCCCCCGGCTGCATTATATGCCCACCATCACCACCCCTTGGCCACAATACACCACCACCCCTTCACTGCATTACTGAACCACCACCCCTTCTCTACATTGCTGAACCACCACCCCTTCTTTGCACTATTGAACCACCACCCCTTCCCATAGTTGAACCACCTCCCCTTGACTGCATAGCTGAACCACTATCCCTTCCTATAGCTGAACCACCACCCCTTGATTGCATAGTTGAACTATAACCCCTTCCCATAGCTGAACCACCACCCCTTGATTGCATAACTGAACGACCACCCCTTCCTATAGCTGAACCACTGCCCTTGACTGCATTGTTGAACCACCATCCCTGCCCATAGATAAACCACCACTTCTTAATTGCACTGATGCCTATGAATCAACAAACTGAGATGCATCAATGTTTGTAACTTGCGAAGTTAGATTGTAATATATTGTCAACATATATGAATAGTTACTTCTAGGTTAAATTAGGAACAATTTTATTATTTACCTCTTGAGATTCATTTTGATGTACCCATTGTGTTCTTCTACCCCTTGCACTCTTGCCAGATGCCCTTCTACCCCCTCCTCTAGTAGTTAATGGTGGTATTCCTCCTCTTCTTAGTGGAAGTTTCTTAACCATTGTTGGTTTAGATGCTTTTCAAGTGCTTATGTTGTGCCTATAATCATTACATCTTGAATATTATAATAATGGTCTTGACTTGCTCAATGCGGTTGAAGTACTTGGTTCATAATTTTTTTTGTTCCTTGCCTTATTTGGTCTACCAATTTGTTTCTTATAAGTTGGTGTAAGTATGGGTCTGTAGGTTCTGAATTTAGTAGTCTTCTCATAAGAATGGGATATATGAAGTTTGCATAGGCCTTCAAATAAGTGTATCTGTGATAGGTATGGATCAACATATATCTCAGGTAGTTCCCTCCTTGTAAATATGCATGTAATAGTATGATTACAAGGGATACCACTAACGTCCCATATCCTACAAGTGCATGTGTTGTTCCAGAGGTCCACTGCCTCACTAATTCGTATGCATTCCACCTCATATTTGTCACCACCAGCGTAATGCACTTTAAAAATTCTTGCACTTTTCTTCCTTTGGGTTATTTCATCCTGAATGTCTGGAAATAACAACCTATACTTTGAATTCATGAACTATTTTTTTTTTTTTTTTTTGAAACCTCAACATGAGATGTTTCCTAATCCATTCCAATGTGTATATAATAGGTTTGTCCCTTGTAGGAAAAAATCACTGCATTCCATGACTCACACATATTGTTTATCACTAAAGCTATTTTTGAATGACAACCAAAACTTGTCTATACCCTTTATGGCACTTTCATTAACCACTCATATACTTTAGCATTCATCTCTTTTATTTTGTTTACATGCAACTCAAAATTAGCTTCTGTGTATGACTGAGCTTCTTCCCAAACCTCATTTTTCAGATTTTGTAGTCTATATTTTAGTTTGAAGTTTTCATAGAGGTGTCTCACACAAAATTTGTGTTCAGCTCCATATAGAATGGTATCAAAACTATAAACTAATCCCTAAAATTCAGATTAACAATATAAATGAAAAACAAATACAAAATAAATGAATTGCAAATGAAATACTGATATTGAAATGAAAATACAGAACAGATGACATGTAGATGAAAAAGTGACGTTGAACTACAAATACATAACAAATTAATTGCAAAATAAATTATGTTAACAACATAAAAAGTACTAACTTAAAGAATTGTTATTGAATTAAGGATAATTACACCGACACACCCTTAGGTTTGGTCAAATTTCACCAAGATGAAGATTTTGGTTTTAACTTTCAATTAGACATCAAGTCAGCTTTTCATCTAAAAAAGGGTATGAAATGTAATTTACGCCTTAACTTATATAATATATTTTAATAGCAAATATAAAAAATTTTAAAACACAAAAGTGCCCATGAGAAATTAACTGTATTTTTATCGTCTTCACTAACCCAATCTTCTTCGTAATCCTCATCCACCTCTGTGCTCCGATCTGGTTCACCTCCTCTTTCACCTCCTATGTCCTCTTTAACAATCCCCAATTAAAACCCCACCACCAAAACCATAATAATTCTTTCTCTCTCAAAAATTGGTTTTTGCTTGAGTTAGGGTTAAAAAATTGTGCTTGCAATCGAAGATGGAGCAGACGTGCCGCCATGGACTATCGGCCGTAACAGTCACTAGTGTTGGCTCCGATGTCCTCCAGATTTATAAGACGAGTAGCGTTGACAGGAGGAGACGATAGTGTAGAGGAGACCAGAGAGGATGCCGTTGTTAGCTCCGATGTCTTTAAAGATGGAGTCTATTCTTGATCTGTGACCTTCTATTGACGACGATAATGATTAACACATGGGACGACGACAAGGAGAGCAAAATACTCCGGTGACGACCAGCGATGATTCCAACGATAGGGCCAAAAATTAACAAAGGCGATGACTTAAAGTAATTACAACAATTACAGCTTGAGCAAATTTTGACCATGGCAAGTTTCAGTGAGATCAATGTGAGTTTAACGCGGGTTGCAGAAGCTATTAGTTGATGTAATTTTGATTAACTCCTTTAATAACCTAGATGAGATTACTAGGTCAACTTTCCCAATTTTTGTGATTGATTAAATTACCTCAACAATATGATCAATTAAACATCCACAATCACAAAGATAAATACTTAAAAGTAAATGTAATGTTTCTGAATTTTGTCATTTTCCAATTTCTGGAATTTTCAAAGGTATTTTCGCCTTATCTAGTTTTACGTGTCGAACATCGTAGGGTGTGCCAGGTGTACCTGAGAGTTGGTTAGGACATTTCCTTGAGTTCAGGACTCTTGGAAATGCACCGGTGGCCATTTCGGCATTTTTTTGTTTTTTGGACCGGATAGTACCGGTTGGGACCCGTTATCGGGGTTGTTGTGTACGGGGGCTGCGTCATGGGTTCATTGCATTTCATGCATAATTATTTTGTGCATGATTTTATTGTGTAAGTTAATTGTGTGGTTGGAATTATATATATATATATATATATATATATATATATAGTTTTGGTGGGATATTTTTTTATTTTGGTAGGGCCCACCATTTTTTTTTCTTTTTTTAAGGCCAAGAGGCCATTTGTGTAGCCTTAAAAATCTCTCTCTCTCCACGTTTTCTCTCTTCCTCTCATTTCTTCTTTTTCTTTTTTCTTTCTTTTTTTTTTTTTTTTTTTTCCTACAAGCTTCAAGGCTTGATCTCTTTCTTGTCTTTAAGATTTTGGTGTTACTGTTTTGGGCAAAGTTGTAGAGCTCATCGAGGCCGTTGTTTTGATCGGAGCCAATCTTCGTTTGGCCACCTTTGGGGAATTCAAAATTCTAGGGTTTGGGGTGGAAATTTGGGGCTTCTTGTGGAAGTGCCCTCTAATTGAGGTACAAGTCCCTAATCCATGATTTCTTAGACTTTTATGAGTCAATTTTTCCATAATTTGTGATTTAGCATGTTAAATTTGTGTGATTTCCTCTAAAATGACTTAATTGTTGTATATGAACTATATGCCTATGTGTATTAGATGATTTATGTTCATGCTTATGTGATAATTTTTTTTATGCCTATTATGCTCAAATTTTTAGGACTTGAAATATAGAAGCATGTTGATTTGTGAGTTCTAAAATCCTCTATTGACATGGCCTTGAAAGCATGAGACATCCATACATATCATTGGGCTTGAAATGGGAAAATTTAATTTAAATGAAAAGAAAATGGTTTTTAGGAAAAGTTTGATGAAAGGTTCTGTAAAAACCCGGATGCCTAGGAAGCGCCTAGTGGTCCGTGGTGTTAATGTAAAGAGGGAACTAGGAAGAGACTCTAGTGCAGTTGAGCTACCTAGGCCTAGATGACGCCATGGAGATGCTATATGGTCGGAGAAAGCTAGCTAACCCTTCCCTCGCGATGCCATAGAGGCGCTATGGGTCGAATTGCATTAACAGTTTGGAACGATGAAATGGAAATGTTTTGGAAACGGGGAATGACATTGAATTTCATTGCATTCTATAGCACAGTATTGATCATCCATGACTTGGACAATCGATATTGATATTGTGGTTGTATTTCTCCCGGTATGGCATGATCTCATTTTCCTTACTCCTATTCCTTGTTGGGTTCATAGGGATTCAAGAGGTGTGTCTTAGGCACCTCCTACTGAGCGATGCTTATCCGTTTATTATTAACATTTTTCAAGGCTCGGGAAAGAAGTAGCGGATGACGGTCCACCACAATCTTAGTTTGAAGATTTGAAGTTCATTTTGCTATCTTTTTGTGCATTTGAAACCAATCTTTTATAAAGCCTCATTTTGAGAATGTATCCGTTTTCTATAGCATGGCCATATACCGTAAATAAAACACTTGATGGTAGTTTGATGTAAATTTGGAACCATGTTGGCATGTTGTAATGAATGGGAAATAATAGTATATGTTGTAAATGATTATGGATGCCTTTAGCTGTATAACAATATGCATTGTTGCTGTGAATTCGGGATTGAATGATTATTAGGTTAGGCTCACAAAGAGCCTAGAATTTTTGGACTTTCAAGCTACACATAATAGCATTCCAGGGCTCATTAGCTAGCTGACAAGGCATGTCAGCCGATTGATAAGCCATCTCATAGCATTCCAGTGAGTTGAGCTATAGAGAACCTTGTTTCGGCCGGTCGAACCTTACTATCGGTTGACCGAAATTCCACCATCAATCGGCCAACATCCCATCTCAACCGGCTGACAATTCATTTTAGAAAAGTCCCGAGAGCATGCATTTTGGAAAATCGTTTCAGTCGATTGACTCTATGGATCAACCGACTGATTTTGTACTTTTAGCTAGCTGACGATGGGCCATCAGCCTGCTGACCTTGCCCATTGACTTGTGCCTTTGATTTCTTCTTCCAAGTTACATTTCAGGAATACCTCGGACCTTTGAATAATCTTTGTATTACCTATGAACATAGTAAGGGACAGGATTGTCCTTAGTTGACCTCAGGTTCGAGTAAGGACCCAGTTAAATGGTTCGGGCCCACGGGTTCGGGTCGTTACAAAATTGGTATCAAGGCAATGGTTTGAATACCATTAGGACGACGGGTAGAGGCCTATCTAGGATTGCATGAGAAGTTGAATTACATGTTTCATTGCTTATATGCAGTGTTTAAATTGTTTGGAAAGCATGCCTACTTGCTTACTTGTTCAGCTGCTTATGTGATTACGTGCTAAATGTTTAAAGTTGATGTTTATTGCTAGCATGATCTTGTTCATCATTGGTCGGGTATTCTGGGAGTATGGAAAATGTTTAAGTGTCGTCATTTCATATCAAGTCATTCATATGAGGACTCCGTTCTCGTGTGTAAATGAGTATCATTGTTTTGATCCATTCTCTTATTTTATAGCGTTATGCTGCCACGAAAGGATCCCGGGGAGAGTTCTAGCTCCAATCCCATGGAAAGGGATCAGGGGCTGGTTGAGGAAGATGTGTTGTTACGGGATTTGGTTCCACCAGGAGGGGGACAAGTGAGGGGAACCATTGACCCGCCGTTTCAAATAAGTGAGGAGTAGCTTAAGTTGGCTGTACAGGCTGTCATTCATGAT